GGTCGAGCTACGGACAACGAACCAAGGCGGGGTTGGCTAGGCAAGGCAGGCTAAGACAGGTTGGAAGGTCGGAAGGTTGCTCTGTGCTGTTCTCTACTGTGTACTATATCGCCCAGAGGATATTCAAAGCATAAGATACCCTACATCGTGCCTCGTGCCTTCCGTTCTCTGAATGGACCCGCGTCACTATAGTTGCCCCTGAAGCCCGACTCCCGAAATCAAGGGTGCCCCCCCCCCCCTCCCCGCAGCCTTGGGGCCGCTCACAGCCTTGGGATCAGCCGTTTCTTTCCCCAGCTGGTTGAAGAGGTAGCAAGCACCTTCGTTTTGCTGGGCTTTGGTGTTCAGTTGAACTCGATAGGAATAGACGCGCCGTCCTGGAAGGGGGCCAATCGATAAGGTCGGGTCCGCTGCAAAGTTCGAGACCAAATTTGCCAAAGCTCACGGAAACAGAAAAGCTCAAAAGCTTCCAAGAGAGCTTACAGCCGGGTTCGCCCGGTCCACCCTTACCTGTAAGACTGCACAGAAACCTCTGTTAAAAGCCTCGAACAATTCGACAGCAAGGGCTTAATTGAGGTGTTAAAGGTCTTCGAGGTCAAGGTAGGCTTCGGAGCTTGCGGGGTTTCTCGGGTTTTCGGGGATCGTGCTCATGGTAGCCAACGGCGCAAGTCACTTCAACGAGTTCGGTCCATGAGATGTAGTCCGTGGGGCATATTACTATTGACTCACTACACTATCTGGAGGCATCCCTTCATAAGCGCAGATGGGCACCGCCAGGGAAGGAGTCCTGCTTCCAGGTGAAGTGGATGCAGGTGGGATTCCTGTGCCAAAGGCAGGCTGTATAAACATCTAACAACGTTGAGAAAACTCACGGGACCAGAAATGACCAGAAGCAAAGCCTGAAATCCCAACATCTCACCTTTGACATTCAAACTGAGATCTGCTGACCTCTTACCCGCTGCACCCCAAAATCGTCCTCTTGGTATTCTATTGTGTGGCTGTCTCTCATGCAGGAACACAGAAGCCTTAAGCCTTATAAACCTTAGGTCCCAACCCTTATAGGCCCCTCGCAAATGCGCAAAGACGTAGGAGAGTTTCTACTACCTTCCCAGCAGCACACTTCTGAATCATTTGGGGGGGTTCCAGAGTGTGGCTGGACAAGATAAAGCAAGGTAACCTGAAAACCACAAAAATCATCAAAGGAAGCTAAAGCTCAAGGCTTCGTGCCAAGAGTCATCTTGCAGCTCCTTCCAGGCAGGACTTTCGGGTTCGAGTTGTTTTCTGTTGAGTTGGGGCTTCGCAGACATGACTTGCTACTTCTCGGGAAGGCCTGCCCGTTCCACCCTATGTTGCCTTAGTACCGAAGACTGCACAGCGTGAACACGTCCCACATGTTGCTGTACCTCCAATGCCCAACCCTGCCTGAAATCGTAGTTGCTCCAGCTAGCACTTGGTAAGCTTTGCATGCCAGGAGTGAGTCGCCCACCTTCAACACCTGTTAGACCTCCCGAAGCTCGAAACTCCATGTAGCTCTCACCCCAAGCAAAACCCACACAAAAACCCTCAACCTTGGTGCCAGTCACAACACCTTCAGCCATAAACTGCTAAACTGTCCAGAAGCATGACCAAGCCCAGGGTTGGAGGTGGCGATTTCATAATGTAGCGTATAGCTTGTTCAGCATGGGCTAGATGGCCGAGTATCGTCTGGCAATCTCCGGCGCTGGCAAGGTAGGCGCCATTGGGCACAGTGCTGGCGGAGTCCTGGGTCAGGGATCCAGCCGGGGGGCTAGATGCGAGCATTTTGTAATTTTGCAGCACGTTCTGACTCAGACCGAATTGCACAAAGCTGTGCGTCCCGCGATGGATCTCGACACGCAGGACACAACAAGTTCGTTGGGCCCACGATGGGCCTTGCATCACTTCCCATCAGCCTAACGCTCAATATGCTGTCGATGTTGAACTTCTCGGAAAAAGCCTTCGCCAGACAAGGCCTGGTTCAACCCCTCAGCTTGAAGTCTGAACCCATGGGTCCTATCATCAGATCGACCAAACAGAACTACATGCAACGCAGCCTTAAAGCCGCACCCATGCCCAAACAAAATAGTTACTCAGCAGTTCTGAACCTCATCAAAATCCCGAACGAATGCCGAGGAAACCTGTTGCCTTTGACTGAAGGATGTGCTGCTGCTCTTCACATTCTGCACTTCAAATCGCAAGCCCCAGCTTGACGAGGCGCACGATCTTCCGAGTAGGCCACGCCTTCCTTGGCGCACCACGGCGCCTCGGAAGCCACAAGGACCGCAAGGAAGCTCAGATGCTTCAGCTGTCGGGGTGTCTGTCTTGCTGAGGTTGCACCAGCCGGGCTTGAAGAAGGTGGCGGCGAGCTCTTCTTTCCGATTCTTTTCCGGACGTCGTAAATTTACAATCCATTTCCAGGCCCAGAGCCTCCCCAGCAGACGACCCTGTAGAATTGCTTGCAAAAAGGGGCGGGTGGGGGGGGGGGGGGGTCGGGGGCTCTGCTTCCGGAAGAGGGGTGCAACATTGCACCTGTATGCTAGTCCCACGTACGCCTCAACAAGCTTCAAGATAACACATCTTCAGCTAATTGTCCAGGCGAAACACTGCCACATCAAAGCCAAGCCTATGCCCAGTCCCCGATCCCCTTGAAAGGGTCTTCCCGACCTCAAGCCCTGAACCCTTTTGAGCAACCGACTTTGAGGCTGCCGGCACCAACGGAACCCTGTAAACCCCAAACTCGCAGAATGCCCCTTGGCATGGCAAAGGCTCGGCTGCGGCTCCGCGCAGGGCGACGAGGACAGAAAGGCCGCGGATCATGGCAATGGCCTAGGGGTGGAAGGGGGTTACAAAGGGGGGTTTCAAGAAGGGCTCTATAGGGGGCTTCGGGGGGTTCTTTGGGCCTCTGCAGGGTTGCAATGCCTGTCGCCTCTACAGATCCGACTGCCAGAATGGACAGGACAAACTATAGACACCAGGAAAGCTGTCACATTGTAGGACCTCCTTGCAACAAAGAGTCAAGGCTGAGTTAAGGCTAACTGCACACCCCGAAATGCACAGTGCCGGGGACTGCTGGAAGCACCAAACAAACCACTGATCATGTAGAATCTTGCTAGTGCAGACTGTGGTCGGATGGAAACACACACACACAAACAAACAAACAAGGTTGTGCCTAAAAAGCTTCTCTCGGCAATCGTTGAGCCCCTGAAGCCTCCCGCCTTAACCTGTCACAAATCTGTGTGCTGGCGGAGCAGGTTCAATACCCGCAGCTAATGCCGTGGAGACTTCGATCTAATTTGAACGTTGCCATGCCAAGGTAGGCGGACTCACTACCAGAACAAAACATACTGAAACCGCAACAAGCATGCATCCAAGGCACTAGTGACAGATCCAAGAATGCGCAAAGGCAAAGATGGTTCTTGCTGTTGGATGCTTGAGCTCGGCTTCTCATCGTGAACAGGGTTTGGGAAGTCGGGTTTCGGGCTCTTTGTGGGACGAGCGCACACTTCTTCTCACATTAGACTGGGGTTGACATGATGCACAGGACGCAGTATATTGCAAGTGGCCCGGAATACAAGTCGCCTGCGAATGCGCTCATACACGGCACAGTAATGTTTCACGTTCTTGAGACTTGCTTGCTTTGGCCTTTGTCTCCCGACCAGATGTCACCACTAGAAGGCCATCACCCAGACCAGCCTCAAGACCTGCTCCCTAAACCCTAAACCCTAAAACCCTAAAACCTAAACCCTAAACCCTAAACCCTCGGCATGTGAACTACGTCGGTCGCCAGAGGCTGTCAGGAAGGCCCACTGTGACAGTGCATTGGCATGCAGCTGACCCTAAAAGCGAAAAGGGGCCATGAGGTCCGGACACTGGGCCAAGAGACCATCAAGTCCAGACCCAGCGCTGGAAGCAGGACCCTTCTGGCGAAGCAAGAGGTAGTTACAAATTGATGTCAGCCACAGGATTCGTGGCAAAGAGGTTCCGAGCTGGCCACTTGCCAGTGTGGAGGCCCCATGGCGCTCCACACAATATGGTAGCCACCAATGCATGAGAAGTACCACCATTAGAAATGCCCTTCTTGATAGCATCAAGAATCCCTATATATGTATAAACATATATATATATATATATATGTGTACGTATATGTATATGTATATGCGATATGCACAAGAGCCACCATCCAGTCCTTTAGACTGCCGTGTGTCGCACAAGCTCGGAATGTCGGACCTCAACTCCGGCAGGGACTCCTTTGAGGCGCCTGCCCCGAGTTAAGATCGAGTTAAATTCCCTCGGCTCAGGTATGTCGAAAACAAAATGTGGATTGTGAGGCCGCAGGGTGTAGAAGCATAGCGTTGTAACCACTTGCTTGTGGAATCTTGGGGTATTGCACTCGATCTAAGAATGGTCGAACCTTTTGGGGGCACAAAGGGTGCCTTGCCTCGTCGCAGGGGTTCCAAGTACTATTGGCAGGGTGTCAGCTTCAATTTGTGATTTGTAACACCCATTCCACTTCGGTGTTCTGAGACAAGACAGGACGGTTCGACTAAAGAAGTCAAAAACACAGGGCCGAAACATTCCACCCAGCATTCACCCCAGCATTGAGCACAGGTTGCCGCGTTTTGCGCGGCTTGGAAGACCGAAGTGACCTCTCCCAGAGCAGCCACTGCTTTACTTGCAGTGCTGGGGGCTGTGATGCTAGTACAAGTGGCTTGCCTCGGCAAAATACCCATGAGGTATTGCACCTGCTATGCAATCAGCTTAACCCCAAACGGGGGCCCAACCTTTGAGTCATTGTGATGCTGTCTGCATGGCGCACAAACATCTCACCGAGCGAAGGTTCTTGAAACATGCCCCACGTTGCCCGCGCGGATGTCGGGGGTCCTCAATATGAACCTTTTGCCTGTTCCGGACAATGAACCTTCGCGCATGAAGCAGTTGCAAACCCAGGAGACCCTTTCCCCAAACCCCAAACTCCCGTCTCGGCCTTATGCTGCAGGGTACGGGTAGTAGTAGGCCATGGGCTGGTAATTTGGCACCTGGTAGTACCTCAATGCGTAATGTGTGTTCTGCTGGGTGCCGTTGGGGCGGCACAGGCAACTCCTGACACTGGCGATCATTGGTGTTCTCGTCTGCTTGAAGGGTTTAGAGCTGAAGGGCGTGCTGGATATTGAAAGATGGGTAGAGACATTGGGCTGGTCTGGAGCTGAGACCACCAAATTCTCGAAGCCAAACCTGGAATTGCTCCAAACTGATGGGGGCGAGCTGCTGTGGCACCGGCATCATTTGAGATGGCTGGGCCATGGGGTACATGGAGCCTTGATACTGCTGAAATCCTGGCAACAGCCACATTTCGGGATCTCAAGTTGAGCGTGTTTGTGGCTTGGGACCCAGGGCCTGTGACAGGCTTTTGCAGATCAGCGAAGCAGCAATTTAAGTGACGGCTCCCTGTTCGGCACGGGCGTCTGATGAATACACACACCTTCTGGACCGATTCAGGACGGGAAAAGTCCCCCAAAACCACGTTGCACACTACTGTTTGATGGGTCCCATCGCATGGCGGCTCGCGGCTTCTTAGGGGAATACATTCCTTAGCCCCAAGTAGCGGCTTACTGCTGGACAACTTGCTTGCAAGGCCCCAAAACAGTACAGCATGTTCGAAACAGATTGCAACATCTGGTTCTGAGCCCTGCTAATCCAGGCCGATTCAAACCCTATAAGCCCCAAATCACCAAGCCCCCGAGCCCCTAAACTCCTAAACCCCAACAACCACGCCCGTGCCCAAAGGACACCTGGAGTCACTGCGGGGGCGGCTGTCGAGGGAACTGGCTGCTCCGGGGCCTCCTACACGAGGTGTGTTTTGGTGTTTACGAGGGCAACGTTCCGAAGGTGCTGCAGGGCTTCTATCGGAAGATGAACGGGGGCTTTTTTTTGGGGCAGGACTGCAGTTTCGGCGTTTGCACAGCTTGGCTGCCGTGCCCGTGCATGGGCACGGGGCTGCCACCCGCATCCCTACGATTTCTAAAGGCAGCTTGACTCAGAGGGGATCGAGCCATAGCCCAAACATTCCCAAACCCTCAACCTCCCTCAGCCCTCAGCCGATTTGGGCTTCTATTTACCGGCCGCGAATGGCGTTTCTCGGCCCTGGCCTCGACCAGGGGCGCCTGACAGGCTAGCAATGGAAGGCCAGCACGGCCGTGCACTGCAAACAAAAGGGGCTGGTTGATGCCCTCAGGACGCTGCATGCTTGCTAGGCCCCCCAACAAATGGTTAAAGTTGTTGAACCTTGCAAACTTTAAGTTTAGTTCAAAGACTTGGAGAACTCACGGCGGGGGTCGAACGTTTTCATCCAGATGTCGTGTGAATCTCAGACATTCAGACTTGCCAATATGCATATACAAGTTTTGGTCAAGTGCAAGCATTCTTCAACATGCAGCACAGCCATGTTCATTCCCGCATATAAAACGCGCACGATGGGATTAGCTACTGTGCTGAAGCCGGTTCTGAGGCCGATGGGGCTCGGACACTGCGTCCTGTCGGTCGTTTTGTCATGCCTTCTATCGGGCTGAACTAACATGTGGGTGAAAAACGCACGCAAATCGCTCATCCTGGCGACGAACTTTGGGTCGCCGCGGCGTTTGGTTAGCTTACATGAAAGGGTGTGCTGCTTCGGTTGTTGTGCAAATAACGGCTCGGTGCTGGCGCCGCTGCCGGTGCTGCTGCTGCTGCTGCTGCTGCTTCTTTTTCTCTTGTCGCCACTGTTGTCGCGGTTGCCAGTATCTCTGCCGTCATTGCACAGGTTGCCGTCTTTGGTTGTTGGTTGCTGGTTGTGTTTGTACATTTGCTTGATGCTCGCTGTTCGATCTGGGTTTTGGGTTGTTTGTTGTGTGCTGTTGGTTGGTTGCGAAGGTGGTACTGCATAGTGGTGGCGGAGGTGGTTGTGGCCCTAGCTTTGGCTCTTGTGCTAGTTGGTGCCATGGTTGTTATTTTGAATTAGATTTCGGTCGTTGTTTTGATTCTTGATCTGATTTGAGTGTACACCGTGGAGTTGAAGAGGTCCTTTGTCCTCGCTTTTAGTTCACTTCATGGGCGGCTGTTCTTTTTCCCGTCATTGCCTGTTGCCGTGAACTTCATGCACACGTGTGCCAAAAGTAGACACAGGAACGTTCCAATCACAGTGTTGGTGCCTAAACCCTAAACCCTGAACCCTAGACCCTAAACCGGGTCATGTGAACACGGCTCAATCGAGTCGACGACCTCTTTTTGTCGAGAAGAGCACGCAAAAGCATGTCGAGCCAGCGAGGGCGAGGTAACTAATTGAAAAACTCAACGTGCTGTGCCAAAAGCAAATGGTTCCTCAGCAACTGAGGAGAATGAAGTTGAGCAACACCAAAACCCTAAACCTGCACTCTAAACCCTAACTCTTCGTGTGAGGTCGTGTTGCGTTGTTGTCCGTGTGTCGGGAGCTTACTTGGGTCAACGCATCGCGCGCCAGGCCTATACTTCCCCACGGCTGCGATCCGTGCCTTTCAGAACTCCTCTGAACTATCTGCTTCGCTCTCAGGTGCTCTGCTTCGCTTTTAGGTGGTGGGATGCATTGCACAACACAGCCGCTTCACCAATAGTCTTGCGACTACAGCAACCCGACGGGACAAGCATGTGAACAAGATTTCTTCAGGATGAAAAATTCGTTGAGATGCCGCATTTTTGCTCAGGAATGTGTGGATTAGCAGAAAACTGAGGCTTTTGTGGCACAAATGAAACGGTGATCTTTGGGGAGGATGTGGACAAAAAATGAAATGCCAGGTTATTGAACGTTTCTGTTTGGGGGCGGCATTGGGCCACATAGGCGTGTGTTGCCCCAACTTAATTCCATAACTTCTCAACCCCTGAGTCGGGGCAGTGGGGTCGGGTTGCATGGAGCCTTCTCGATGGTGGCGGCACGCTTGATCTTCTTCGTCTGCAGTCGACAGCTCATGGGAGCACCGATTTTCGGGGAGCACCGATTTTCGGGTAGAACCGACCGAAGGTTGGGAGCCCCTTGTGCTATGAAGACTGCGCCAAGCCCGGACTCGGATGGTTTCTAGTATCTAAAGCGTTGAAAAGTGCCACGAGTAGAGACGCTTTAGAGGAGAATCAGCTGCCCTCACCGGTCTGGACGCAGAAAGGCTACAACCCAGCGACAAGTTCTTGAGGCTCCAACTCTGCAGCCTGACTGAACCTCAAAATGCTTCCACATCACCAGTATGCCCTTGCATTCCGTCCTTGTTCGTTTTTCCGGACATGAAGTAGTGGGCACCGCCGGCAACGGCAAGGCAGCCGGCAATGCCACCTGCGCGAGGGTGGGAAGCAAACAGCCATGCGACGACCCGTTATTGTCTTAGTACAAGCACCATGAAGCCACCACATCACAGGGTCACTGAAGAAGAAACATCGCACAGCGAACGGGTGGCTGCAGGTAACGAAAACTTCAGACACAGGCAGTTGAAGCAAACGTGTGGCATTCCTTGCCTGGATGTGTGTCAAAATGTGCTTATTTGTACAAAGACGTGTTATGTAGATCATATGTTGTCTGAATGGGCTTCTCTTAGTCTTCAAATGCAATACTGCTGGCGGCCGCGCTGTCAGCCTGGGATTTCCGGGCTTATGATCCAGTTTCTACATCCCATTGAATTTGAACTTTGCCAGTCAATGTGGGCAAGTTAGGCCCCTCCTAAGCATGTAGAATCATGTAGTTGTCCTCTTCCAAATCCCGGCCTTTCAAAGATGCGCCCCCTCCCCCTCCCCACGGCCCTTGCAAGCAAATCAAAGTCCGGGTGGTGGGGGTGAGCAGACAGAAAGGCCAGTATGCACAACAAAAGTACTGCCAGGTGGCTCGACAAAAGCCAGTCTTGTCGGACATCTTGCAACATCCTATGAATGGCTTATGGGCCACTTATGGGCTTCAGGAGCCCGACCTGAAGCCCGAGGCCGCCAAGTTCAACAAAACAAGCTTGGGGCGCCGCCAATCACGCCATAGACCGCGCTGTTGCCGCCATCGCCACCCGCTGCTCCAGGAGCAGCGCCCAGCTCCTACATGCGAAGGAGAGTTTGGGCCTCAACTGTACGCCCCTCAGCCTGACCTTGATCTGCGAATCCTGAACTTGAGAACAGTTCATTTACAGACAATGCTCTTTGCGCAGCCGATGAATGATCTACGGCCATCTTCTGGAATAGGCTTCCTGTCTACTTGCACGAACTCAACTCTCGAGCTTGTCGTTGTCGGGGTCTGGGAAAGGGACAAGCCATCTCCTTGACGTTTTCATGCCTTGAAGCGCCCTGGCTCCCTTGATGCTGAAGAGACTCTCACACTCGCACCAGGCAAAGAAGGTGACGGCTTAGGACTGATATGTTTTTGCACCTTCAAACCTGGAGCTGAGCCGCAATGGAAGCTGGGTCTCGAAGTTAGAAGTTTTAGCCCAAAAAGAGCCCCCCTTCGGCCATGCCGAATCCCAAAGGCCTTTCCCTCCGCAAGCATGTCGATCTGCGGCAAAGCAGGGGTGCTCGTGCAGGGGCTTACTTTCACTGTACCACGCGCCTGCGTAATGTCAGCATCCCACTGCCCAAGCACGCATGGCTAGCAGCGCGAAACAGGTGCCAACATTTCGGCTGGCCTCGTCCGCTGCTGATCCTGATTTTGCCACGGTACTGCACGTCTCCTCTTTAATGCTATGTCTGCTACGTTGTTCTCTCTCGCTCTCTTTCTTTCTCTCTTTCTCTCTCGTTCTTTCTCTCTCCTCTCTTGTGCTTCTTCTTTTCTTTTACTTAGACCAACTGTCACAGGCGACATCCGAGGACCGTGCTGCCTTGCTACTTCTGGCTGTCAAGTGGAGGACCGACCCTCGACTACGAGATTTTGCAGGCCTGAGCTGCGGCGCCTTCGGGATTTTTAACCCGCGGCTCCTCCCAAAAGACCAGGCCATCAAGATTTCTTGGTGCAAAACCCACAAGGCCCTGTACCCCATCAAGTGCTTCAGAAATGATGGCCATGTCTCCAAGGAGTTCGTGCGTCGACTTGTCGAACTTCTCGGATGCCTGGCCGCCGCAAAAAAATGTCGGCAAGCTTGCAGGTTTGCAAAGCTTGCAAAATCCTTCTCGTGGGTTGCATTCGAGGGAGAGCGCTTTTTGGATGCCTACGACCTTGGTTACTTACCCCGCGCACCGGGTGTCACCACGGCTAGTGTCAAGTTCGCAGGCACACAGAAGTGCCCCTCTTTTGAGTTGTATGGTTCTGAACGTGAGAGGTTCTCAAGATCATAAGGAATCCGAACCACTGCAGCATTGCGGCGTTAGAGCTCGACCCACAGTTGGGAATGTGTCTGCAAAAGAACTGGGTGCTTATGCCAAGATGCTTCCATGTGGAGCTTGTAGGGTTACAGGGTTGGGTTCTCAAAGCCCACGTGCCTCACCACTCTCGCCCGCCAGCTTGCTGATCTGTGGGCAGGCTTTAGGGGCAGTTCACCACTGGGCTGCACTCAATATGATTGAACCCGGCCCTAGAACACTGCACCAAAATGGACAGCCTGCCCAAGCACAATCGACGATAGCAACGGGGAACGGCAGCCCTGATCCTGAAGAATCCCCTCGGTTGGCCTGGTCAGCTGCCGATCCTGATTTTGCACCGTAGGGGATGTGGGCCGCAGGCGGGGTGCCTCCCTTGTACTGCGCAACTACTTTCCTGGTATCCCTCTGGCTAGGTCTGAGGCACGGCGCCTCCGGCAAGTGGGATCCCAGCTTCAACCCAAGCCATGCGCAACCCCGTGCCTAAACAAGAGTCTTGCAGTCTGGGGGCCGGCTTGTAGAATCGCACGAGTGGACAATTATCTCACACACTACGCAAGCTCGCCTCCTCAGCAGCTCAGCGTCCCCTACTTACAGACCCGAGAGCTAAGCCCAGAGCCTGAAATCCCGAATCGCAGTTTTGGGTGGGATGTGTTGGGCTGTTCCTGCACCACCCGCCAAGTCAAAAGCACTGCAGGATAAGGTCGGTCCAAACTGGAGGTAACAATATGACAATATGGGCCAAAACTAAAGCAACACCCCATCTAGACTATGCACATTTGGTGGCCATGTCTCCAAGGAGTTGGTTTGCCGACTGCTGGAACTTCGCGACGGTCTGGCTGCTGGCTTTCAATAGGTCTGCTGGGTGTTCTGTGGGAAAGTTGCTCTTAGGTTCAAGTAGAGCGATCTGGAAACACGTCGACAGAACATCTGGGTGCTTGCGCTAAGATGCTTCCAGGTATTTGGAGATGATAGGGTTGGGATCTCAAAGCCCACGTGCCTCACCATTCTCGCCCGCCAGCTCGCTGATCTGTGGGCAGGCTTTAGGGACAGTTCCGTTCCTCGAAACACCCTGTTGGGGAACAGCTTGACAGAAGCGTTCCGTATACGGTGCAGTTAATTGGACTCAGCCTGTCCACGTCACACAGCGTGCATGAGTTTGGTAGGTACTGTAGGGCCTGCGTGCATGTCTACCACTGGACTGCACTCAATATGATTGAACTCCACACTAGAACACTGCACCAACCTGGATGCTACAGCATGCTCTGGTGTTGAGTACAATCCTCCAGCACTATTTCGCCAAGGGCAGTGCAACGTCAGCGCCCAGTTGCGAAGCACCCTCGACGATAGCACCGGGAAACAGCAGCCTGATCCCGAAGAATCCCCTCGGTTGGCCTGGTCAGCTGCCGATCCTGATTCTGCACCGTAGGGGATGTGGGCCGCAGGCGGGGTGCATGTGGGCCCGTTGCACGCCTCCTCCCTTGTACTGCGCAACTACTTTTCCTGGTATGCCTCTGGCTTTGCAGCATACCCTCTACTACGGGATTTGCAGATCTGAAGCGCGGGACGTCCAGCCAACAATTTTCAACCCAAGCCGTTAAACAACAAGTCGGAGGTTGCAAAAGAACCCAAGCAAGCAATTAAACAAGTTACACACTAAGCCTCTCAAAGCTCGCCTCCTCACTGCTCACCTCTACTCATCGCGACGGAGGCTTCTACACGGGTGAATCGCACTTGGTGATTGGGAGCTGGAGCTTCTTACCACTTAGTCAAAAGCGCTGAAAGGGGCCAACCAAACCTCAAGCTTTCTCAAAGTGATGGCCATGGCTCCAAGGAGTTCGTGCGTCGACTTTTCGAACTTCTCGGATGCCTGGCCGCCGGCTAGACATGGGATCGGCAAGCTTGCTGGGTTTGCAACATCCTTCTCGCGGGGTGCATTCAAGGGAGAGCAGCCTGCGACCTTGGTTGCACCACCCGTGCACCACGGTTGGTGTCAAGTCAAGCTTGGGTCTCTCAGGCGTCGGACCAACTAATTCATGGCCCATGGCGCTGGTTAAGGTTGAGGATTTGGGTTGCGTATGCGCGAATTGGCCGCCACCGCGGTAATTATTGCGGCCTTAGAGCTCGACCCACAATTGGAAACACGTCGACAGAAGACCTGGGTGCTTACACTAAGATGCTTGCATTTGGAGCTTGCAGGGATGCAGGTTTGGGTTCTCAAAGCCCACGCACCTCACCATTCTCGCCCGCCAGCTTGCTGATCTGTGGGCAGGTTTTCGGGACAGTTCGTCTTAACTCCTAGTATACTGTTACAGCTTTGGCAGAAGGGTTCCGTATGCGGTGCAGTTCATTCTCACACAGCACACGCATGTCTACAAATGGAGACGCCCTGATCCCGAAGAATCCCCTCGGTTGGCCTGGTCAGCTGCCGATCCTGATTCTGCACCCAAGGAGCCCGAAAGTGGATCGCACTTGGGAGTTGGGGGCTTTTTGGGATGCATCTTTGACCAGTTTACTTGGCTAGCCATGGCATGGGCCTTAGCTTACCAGCACCTTCAAGACAAAGCACAAAAAAAAAAAAACAAAGACATGATGCACTGAGCCAGGCCAGAAAACTCGCCGCCTCTCACTTCGATAGCGGTTTCTACCCACACTGCCCACAACCCAAACACCCGGGAACTAAGCTCGGCACCGAAAGACTGAACAGCCTTTTGGGTCGTTTGGGCCGTTCAGGGCCGTTTGGGGCCGCTCTAGTTATTGAAGGCCATGGCTCCTAGGAGCTGGTGCGCCGCCTTTTCAATGTTCTTGGTGTCCTGGCTGCGGTTTCAAGAGGTTGGCCGACAGGGATCCTTTCTTCTCTCGTGGCTGCATATTAAAGGAGGGCCTGTGATTTCACAAAAGGCCAGAAGATCCCCATGCCAGACTCCACCAGAGTCCACCAGATGCCAAACCGGAAGCCGAAACCACAAACTTCATCAACCACCCTAAAAGAGCCCCTTGCAGGTCGTTCAAAGCACAGGCTTCTAAGGGGGGGGGGGTGGGGGGGGGGGGATTGAAAGCTTCAGGAGTGCAGTCTTGGAAGGGGAACAGGGAAGGGTGCGGGGGGGTGTACGGCGCGCAGAGATCCTGGTCCTCCCCCTTGCTTGCTCCACAGTAACTGCTGCTGCCGCTGGCAGGTAAACAAACAAGATGCTTGTTGCGTGTGTGTGACAAGATGTACTTGAAGCTCAACAGTTGTCAAGCGCGCATCTGCCACGCTTGCTGGAAGCCACCGGGAGTCCGCTGTGATGGGGCACTGTGGCGCAAGCCGGCAACCCCCAGCCCTGAAACCCTGCTTGGAGCCAGGTGTGCCGGGGGAAGTGTCACCAAGTCCGGCAGCAAAGTCGGTTCCACCCAGCCACGATCCTCCTTTGAGCTGTAATAGGGCTCTAATGCTTCAGTCTATACATTCTGGTGCACGTTGGTGATTCGGGATTTCAGCTTCGTTCTTCAGCGGCCAGCTTCCTTCGTGGAGCTCCTTGTATTCATGAAAGTCCGGTGCTCCCATTCACACATCGAACTACAGCCCAACACATGCCAACACAGCCTCCAGGTATGCTTCTGATATGACATGATCCCGAAACATTCGAAACCCTAAGCCCCAACTGAAAAGCCAACTAAACCCTAAACCCCAAACACATCCCAACACCCAGTTTGTGACACAAAAATCTCAACCGAAACCCTGGCGTGACACTCGGCTGCCATGCCCTGCCTCCACGAACTCCAAGAGGCGGGACTTCTCAGGAGCCCCAGCCTAAAAAGAAACAACAATCCCCCCAAAGGGGCGGTTTAAGGGATCAGGGGGGTTATAAGGGGGGTATAAGGGGGGTATAAAGGGGGTGGTATAAGGTAGCTGTTTCAGGGTTTGTGTTTTAGGGTTTACCACAAGCCCAAGACGATCCCAAGTCTCCCCAGCTTGTCTAGCGACTTCCAAGCACCGGATGGCCACACGAGCGAGTTGTCCAAAGTAGACCCCGAAGCTGTATGTAGTTACTTGCGAAAACATCTTACACAAAGCCCATGTGTCGATTCCAGCTCCTATCCCTCAAGATCCAAAGAGCCAAAGCCCTAAACCTTATCCAATCATGAAAGCCTCCATAAAGCTGCAACGCTTGGTTCTGGGCCTGATATGATGGCACTTTCGAGGCTAGCGGGCAGTTGGTTCCTTGAAAGCCCATGTGATACCCGTCTCACCCTCGCAATCCCACAACAAGAACTAAGCCTGAAGTCATATCGTCCAGGAGGGAGGCAGGGCTTGGTGCAAAGTGGCCACCGGCGGAAGCCTAGATTTTTGTGAACCTCGAGGTCTGTGTGACCCTCCCGAAGTAGAAATACATTGTTACAAGAAAGCGCAACAATAAGCCGCACGGACGAATCACATGGAGGTCAACCCTCCTCATGCTCTACCTTCCCTATGGCCTTGTGAAAGTCAATGCTCTGTGGATGTGCACTTTTGCATACGGAAGGGGGGATTTCTATATACCCAGATGGCAGCAAAGGATAACGAATGCAACGCCAGCCTGTCAGTCGCGAAGCAGTCAAGGTCCATGATCCCAAACCCAAACCCAAAAGTCGATGAGCCTTCTTTTCACATTCATGCTTGTAGTTTCGGAACACGGAAACATGTAGCCCCTGTTGCTCCTTATAGGATGAGCAGCGACCGGGCTAAGTTGTCACAAATGCAGGAACAAGCTCCTTGCCTTCATCACAACGGACATGCCTGAAAATTTTCATTCATAATTCCATCTCCTTCTACACGTAGCCTTAACAGTCTCAACCCTGGACCCCAACTCTGGCCACGAGGCCTCCTCGTCGTCGGGACAGGCCTGGGCCGTTGCACAGAGATGCTCTGCACAATCTCAGAGTACCGACGTGTCCTATCATTCCACCTCAAACCCAGAAGCCCTCCGGAAACAATTCGCTATTGTGTTTGCAACTTGGCTTATGCAGCATTAAGCTGGACCCCTACAACGAACTCCTTCAATGCCCTGACAGCCCATAGAGGCATTTGACCATCGCTGAGCTGTGAACATGGAAGCAGGGGGGTTGCATCCCAGCGAGACCCTGACCCAGCCCTCAACGACTTGCCTGCTACAATGTTTCTATAAGTTCGTACACTACAAGATAGCAATGAGACGCTGTGCTGAGGGCTTCCGAATACCAAACACCCCGGTCACTGTCACAAGGGACTCGACTGCTGGGCCTTGCCCTCTCTTTTTCAGGGTCCTTAAGGGAGGGGGGTTCATGGGGGGTAGGTACCTAGACAACCCTAGGGAAGCTGAATAGGAGCCTTGGGAGTAATGGGGAGATTAGGGAACCTTGGGTTACATACCCCCCTTGGCATCCCCCCATAATCTGTTCTTGTTCTGTCTCAGTCTCTCTCTCTCTCTCTCTCCTCTCTCGTGCTGGAAGCCCCTGCCTTCGGTCCGCTGATTGCTTTCTCATCGGTCGTCTCTTTCCCGAGCTTACCTTTGTAGAGGTAGCAAGCACCTGAAGCTCTTGGATGTGCAGCAAGAGCGCGGGAGTTACGGACGCATAGAGGTTTTGCATGAGCTGTGCACAGCACTAAAGCAATCATGAGTCAATTGTCACAGCTTGATGGCTTGAAGCCGCAGAATGCGAAGGGTACGGGGAGGAGGAACACGATATGACCAGCAATGCCCTGTACCAACACATGTCTGAGTGAGTGATATGAGTTCGGCGCCACCGGGGTAGGAGTCCTCTTTCCATGTGAAGTGGGTGCAGCCCAGCATCCTTTGCTGAGACGTGGGAGACCATTTGTTAAAGCTGGGGGTTAACCCTAAACCCGATTTTCCCCACCACGATGCATCTCCATGGCTTCACCCTTCGCTAACTCCAAGCTCGCTTTTCCTCTGGCTGTTGCTCGCTTCTCTCCGAGATCACGCCCTCTTTCCCTCCGTTCTCGCAGGCCAAGTGGGCTAGACTCGACCGTGCAGTTATATTTATGAATATACTTGTGGGCTCATATCTTCTAGCTGTTCTACGCAAGTTCTGACAGAACGGCTCCTCCGATCGAGACTCCCGAGGAATGACACACTGGAAACAGCCCAAAATCTACCAACTTGAGCCAAGCATCGTCTGGCAGCTCCTGAGTAGAAGCCCATATCCTAAACCTTCCCTGAAGCCTTATCGAACCCTTTACGAAAAATCTTTCTGGGCCCTAAACTTCTCCACCAGGAACCTTTTGAAAATGCCTCTGGCGAAGCAGGCGGCTGCAATTACTGCTGAGGTGATTCTGATAACCATTCCTGCTCGTGCCATGAGGATCCCATGACAGTTGCTACTGCTCGACATGGTTTTTTGAGTTTTTCTCTTTCCCCTTCCAAGCCGAACAAAACCGCCCGCATGCTCGTAATCCACAAGATTCCCCTCCAAGGCATGCTCAAGATCCTGCCGACTTCAGAAATTGAAGATGGGGCTATCACAGGACGTTCACTCGCCATTCCAGCCAACATGATATAGCTTGTGAACTTGAAAGGGGTTGGGGCTCGTGATCCTGAGTTTTGGATTCTATCATGTCAGGAGGTGTTGAAACTTTCGCGCGCGCGCGCAGCTTCTGAAGGTGCAAATCGAGGTGTTGAGGAAGTCAAGCCACAGGCCACATGAAATGATAGCGCTGCAAGCATACATCTTGGTACTCAAGCCTTGTGCTAACACTGTCGTGGCCAAGACTCACCTGACATTGCTTGGAATCCGAGAGGTATGCAACGTTGAGAAGATCTGCCTTACATTGAGGCATCGTGGACAGTACTCAGCTGCTACTGGTCAGACTCAGCATGTTTAAAACCCTCTCAAAGTATAAGTGTGCAGGTGCCAGGGAGTCAGGACGTGGTGTGATTAGCGAAAGGGCAAGGGCCAGAGTTGTGTATGCGTCTAGCGGCTGCACGAGGTCCATATGTTGACTACCGCCTTGTGGACACCTTGATGCTCTAGCTGTTCGTGGTCTGCGAGACAGCACGCGGAACTCACTGAACTTAGACGAGCTAGTGGGAAATTCGGTGCAGAATGGGGTTCTTCTCTCACCAAGCCCCAAGCCACCCACCCTGACATCCTCAGCCCCAAACCTCATCGCCGATCGAACCCAAGGAGCACAAGTCCTGATTCCTTTGCCCTCCCACGAGCTATAGGCCCTACAGGCTCTTGGCAAAGCACGCGATCAAGCGAGTAGGCCATGCCCTTCACCGCGCAAGACGGCATAATGTCTGCATCCTGAGATCGTATGCAGGCAGTCAGTCGTTGGGTTCAATCGGATTTGGAGTACCAGAACTACCAATTCCCAAATAAACCAGCATCCGGCCCGCCCCCAACCTTCAAGTAGCTGGCTAACCCTAGACTCACCCTAGACAGCGAATTCCCCACTAGAAAGCCCTGTACCGGCCAGGGTCGGCGGCGACACCGCGGAAGGCAAGGAGGATGCAAGCGCCACGAATCATTTTCTCACCTGAAAGGCAATGTGAGTTTTGAACGAGGACTATGGGTACATGTCAAGCATGATGTCATTCTGTAGTTTTCTCCTTACCTGCTGCCTGAAACTAACAACAATACAAAAAAACGAGGGTGCGAGAGGCAGAGAGAGAGAGAGAGAGAATGAAAAAAGAAACGCGGAAAGACGTGAGCGATAGAGGAAAGCGACGTGGATGCGGTGCTTCAGCTAGCGCAGGCAGCGGGCCACTCCGGCCAACAGAAGCCTGCAATGAGCCTAAACCCTCAAGACCACACCCTTGAAGCCTTCCCCCGAAAAAAATTAGGCAGGCGTGGCGTTTAACATGGTTCTCCCCTAAAAGCCTAAACCCTAAAACCCTAAACCCTACAACCTAAACCCTAAAACCCTTTTTCGACCCTAAACTCAAAACCCTTTTTTGAACCCGTGCTGCCCTAAACCCCAAAACCCCAAACCCTAAAACCCTTTTTTGCATCCAGGCCTCTTCGAACACTGCCGGGAAACACCAACGAAGACACTGAGACACTGAGGCGGAGGCAAGGTACAGCATTGACTGACTGTCACCCACCCATGCAAGAACTAATGTCTCGCACGCGCCCATCTGAAACAACATCAGGAAATACCAGACCCGACATTCAATCATCTTGACTGAAGTCGACACAAGCGAGATCAGGCGAACACTCACTAGAAGTACTCAACCCAACCTGCAAATCCATCGCCATCGAATGGTTTCTTCGTTCTTCACTTCTGTGAGAGCGTTCCTCCCTCCGCTTCTGCTTCTGAGCTTGTCGAAGGAGACGGTGCCGCTCTTTCAATGTTTGAAGATCAACTGTAGATCTCCGGTAGGGTGCTGTGCACGGACCATCACGTTGCTGAAGTGGGTCTGACGCATGGTGCGAAACATGTGCATGGCTAGGGCTTCCAGAAGCTTGCCGGTGTGGGGAAATCGCTTGCTGGCCTTCCAGAGCGCATAGGCGTTCCTGCAACCCCACACAGGATTTCAGGACGGCATCGTATTGTATTGTTGCTGCAATCGGTGCACCAAGTTCTCACACTCTTGTCTTGTTATGACCTCCAAATCAGTTTGCGAACCAGTGGAATAAACAGGGATGGTTATGCCGCCGTCGACGCGTTGTGGCTGCAACGACGCGGTTCTATGATGGACTTCGGTCTCTTGCAAGGCCTTGTACAAGGATACAGTGCGAGCTTGGCCTGACTCGACTGGCTTCACCAAAACATGCAGAGCCGATGCCAAGCACCCTGTGATCGAATGATCCCCGATAGATCGTCGAGACAATCGGAGTGAGAAGGCGATGCAGGAAATGAGCTTGCGACGATCAGAATCCATTGAAGCTGTACAGTTGAATCTAATTCAGGGTTTGCCGTTTAGGCCTCGTAGCAAAGTGGCACTTGAGCCGTAGCCTAAACATCAAAACCCCCTCAACCATTTTAAATGCCGTGCCCCGCCAAGAATTACAACCCTGTGCCTGGAGGATGGAAACTTCAAGGAAAGCGGGGGTGCGAGTGGAGCTGACAGAGATCTGATAGCTGCGGGGCGTGGCTGCAGAGGCCAAGGGCCCTGATCAGGTAAAGGACCCTTTTGACATAATTATCACGTTTAGCATGCCTGGCCTTGGATATGAAGTATAATACTGCAATCTTCTAGGCCGGAAGTGCACGAGACCCGAGCACAACTTAGCGGCAGCTCCTCGGCGGCCCACACCCCCCCCCCCCCCCCCCCCCCCCCTCAAAAAAAAACAAAAAACTACGACCCTGCCTCATCTCAAGGATCTGAGGCGTGATGCCTAGTTGATTGCGCCTTTGACAGTTGGAGGGCGGCGTATCTTCTCGCCCGGGCGACGTACAAAGCAGCCAACTCGGAACCAGGAAGCATGCAGCTTACAGGGCCGATTCTCGGGCTTATGAGACCTTTGCATCTTCTTTGTTAGCCTGTCGAAGCCACCAGAAGAATCCTTGGACAAGTCTTCCTGGGTCCGCCCGCTCGAGTCGAACTGCATGGAGTGGCTTTTCAAAATGTGGGTCCCTTCTCAGCAGTCCATCTTCATGCGGGGTTATCTTCTAGTGTTGTGCAGATGCTTTTTAAGAGGGAACCACGTGTGAAACGGACAGGCCAACACGACTTGTGAGTCGAGATGGTTGCTGGTAGGTGCAAAAAAATTCGGCAGCGAGCATCTCCATCGCCTGCCGGCAATGGAGCCTCAGCCTTTAAAAACTGTGACCTGCTCCCTTTGCAAGACACAGCCGCCTCGAAGTGCGCTTCCAAGCATACCGGCCACTATCAGTGTGAAGCACACCTTCACACCCCTGGGGGTTCGATGAGGATTTTATGCCCTGTCACTGCGAAGTTTCCGACTGGTGAAGCTCCATGCAGTCGGCAATAATTTCAACCTTTGCACTGGAAGTGTTGATTCTGACACAGGGTTGATCTCTTAACCACATACGACTTCCAGGGGTGAAGAGTTTCGGATCGCGTTGACAGCCACTTGCACCTGAACCCTGAACTCAAGTTCCGCACTGTTCGCCACACAGGGGCCCGAAAACCGGAGCAGGGGCCACGGGACTAGCGAGAGTTTTGCGGAGTTGTGGGACACCATGCTTCGGTGATGGCAGGATGTGGGGGGGTTATAGGTGCAGAGCTGAGAAACCGTGATGGCGAACAATCCGACAATACCTGAGTCCTCCTCAACCCAGCCAAGGACACGGCCGCAGCAGCTCGTCCAAGGAGGCGCACTACGAGTACTGTGGGTACTGCGGTCTCTGCAACAAGCTCACCGAGGCCTGCAAAGGGGATTCTGAGGGCTGCAGCCTACGAGTTCTTAAGGCTTGCGTCTCCCTAAATCCTAAACCATACTAAGCGTATCAGTGCCCTACAGGTGGCACCAAATCCATCACCGGTTCCGGGGCAGCTGTTCCACCCAAAACCACACCCCAAAACCCTGACCAGTGCAACTGTTGGGTCCTGAACCGCTTTTGCCTCTAAACCCACAGAACCTCACTTGCCAGTGTGTCACCAAGCGCCTGGTCAACGGCCTGAGGAACGGGCTGGTAGGTCATGACCTTGGGCACGGACGGCGATGATCAGCTCCCTTCCTGTACTCTGGGACCGAGGGGCTCTACGTGATTTTCGACGCTGTCGAGGTTTTTTCAAAAGGACCGCTTTAGGAGGACAGCTGCTGCTTTCTGTGTCATGCACCCAAAGACAAGACGAAGCACATGATCAACATGTCAACGCATGCGAGGCTGTAACACCACTGGAGATGGAGCGACAAGCTGTCCTAGAGTCCTAGATCGAGCAATTGCCAGCTCAGGGGCTCTCTGCGGCCATACTTGGTTGGGCGAAAGTTGTTGGGAGGGGGGGGAGGGGGGGGCGGTTCGAAAACATTTGTGACAAGTGGGCTGCAACCCAATTGCAACAGGAAAACCCATGCAAACCTTTCAACCGGAAGAGGACCAAATCCAGGCATGGCAGCTTGTCAAAGACCCTTTCAAAGTCAAGTTGCAGCCGGCTGCGCCGCCCATGTGGGTTGGCTCTGGTAGTACATGGGCTGGCTCGTGTAGTACTGCTGGGACCTCGGCAACTCCACGTTTTGGCTAAGCATGGATGGAAACTGCTGGATCTGAGGATTCACCAAGACACTTTTTAACATCATGCACATGCTTTGCAATCTAGTTCCTCCCTTCGAGGGGGTCCAGGGGTATTTGCCCACGGCGCTTCATTTTCCCTATTGCTTGCCTTGCGCTTCTTTCCTTGAAGGGGAAGGGGGAGGGATAATCACGCCCAGTCGTATGGCAACCATGCCACAAACACTGCTTTGCACAACATGCTGCAGAAGGATTTTGAACGCTTCTAGGCAGATGCGCCGTCACAAACGTGCATGCCTTTTTTGCCAACATGCCTGGTATTTTCACTGAAAGAAAGCAGTCTTGGATGCCCATGAAAAGCTCATTTTTCGAAAGCGCTGCGCTTGCCAACAGATCCAAAGATGTAGCCGCACGAAACGACCAGTGAAAATAAGGTGCCAGAACCCAATGGCTACGCAGCAAGCGCCCGAAGATCCAGACTTAATCCTTCTGTGCTCCTGCGTTAGATGCAGTTGCCAATGCCCAAGCCTGATTGGAATCTCAGCTTAGCACGGATGCTCTTGCAGGCGCAGGCTGCGCAGGCCTTTGCCCTTATGAGCGAAAGCACAAAGGTGCCGAATGCCTTGTTGAAAACAAGCGACTGGTTTGGAGCCGGTGTGTACTGCGAAGGAACCATCTGCGGTGCAGAAAGAACTCCAGGGAGCTGCCCAGAACCTGCACCGTTTAGGGTTTAGGGTGTAGGGTTTAGGGATACTGCCCAGGGATTACCGCAGCCCCTGAAGCTACAAGGGCTTAGGGTTTAGGGTGTAAGCAGTGTAGGGCTTAAAGGGTTTGTTAGCAACAGTTGACTTCATGTGGATATCCGTGGTCTCTTCCAGCTCCTATCGCCAAGAGCTTTAGGGTTTTGGGTTGAACTCAACCTCCCCAAGATCCACGAAAGATGGACATCCGCCACACCATCGGTCAAGAGCAAAACTAAGCGCAACCGCGTGCGATAGTTTCTTATAATTCAGTCATCTGGTATGGGGTCGCAGATCACAGGACTCTTTAGGGACTTGGGAAGGGGGGGGGCAGTGGACAGCCTGCCCAGGACGAAGCCTTGAACGGGGTCCCATGTTCTCCCTACAGTGCGTCTTTCAGCCTTGAGCAGGCCTACGACGAAACATGTCTTTGGAACCGGGGACAACTCTCTGCAGCATGGTAGGCTCAGGCACAGGATAAGGATAGCGCCGGGTAGTGCTGCGTATTTCGTGTACACACGGCTCCCTCAAAGGCGCAGCGGGAGCACAGGAAGAGCCACTACCCAACCCGAACCTTTGGTTGGGACCTCTAAAACGCTGAGGGCCGGAAATCCCGAACTTGAACCCCATCTCAACACAAAACACGTAA